CATTTTCTGTTGAGAGATCATCTGGACCGTGGATTCAACTCGACGAGCGAGTATGACACGCTGGGAAAGAACCTGTGTGAGTTTTTGAGGGCCCAAGTACGTTGACCTGCCAAACAAGTTTCTGCGCAGGGGCCGGTTCTAGCTGTGGCGGTCGCCCAGATGAAGAAGCTTGAGACAGACTTCTGTCCGGCTCGATCAACTTCTTTGGTCGTTCGGTCTCGGGATTGCTGTATAGAATCTGGAGGATATTGTGAGAGATCTTGGGTTGAGGGTTTAGGTCCATCCATTATGGCTAGACTGCAAAGGCCTCGGGCTACACCTGCGATATCTTGGATACTACTTTTGTGGATTGACCTGCCGAACCGCGAGATTGTTGATGAGCAAGATCAAGACGATGACGTTTTCTTGCATATTGGTGAACCGTCGTGTTTAGAAGAAGAAATGGATGGCGTGTATATAAACGAGTTGGGGCGTATCTTGGTCTGCAATCCTTCCATGTGAGGCAAGTTGCTGCCAGCGTGTTGAGGAAGATGGTTTCCGGAACCTGACTGAGGAAACAGATTGTGGGTTTCCTTTCTGCCGACATGATGCCATACTCTCACCGTCTTTCCAAGGAGCCTTGTTGGCGCAATGGTAGCGCGCCAGCCTCCTAAGCTGGAAGTTGCGGGTTCGAGTCCCGTGCAAGGTGCATTCTTTTTGACTTTTGCGCCTCTGACCCGGTGCTACGGACGAGCTAGCAGATCCACACACAGCAGGTGCTCCTGGCTTTCTCTGGGCAGGTTCTTGCCTCTCCAGCACGATAACCCCCACCCCCCCCTCTAGTATTGGAAGCTTGATGGCGCCGGTTCTCACGATGCTCGGTAAGCCCGTGTCTGCCTAGAATTAGCCTGGCCATGACGACGAAAATAGGAGATGTTCTTTTATTGCCGTCTTTGGCCTTACAGCGGAAGAAATGAATCATCAGCATATGAGACGTCGCAGAATCTCCTTTGGTCTCGGTACAGTATAAGTGGCAGGCATGCTGACTGACCGAAGCCCAATGCGAGATCAAACAATACGAGCGTCCGAACGGAGCCCATGTCGTCGACTAGGGACAGCGCATGCTGGTTGAGTCAGTAGGCTTGGCGAACACTGCAAGGCCGCTCCATCGTCCGTCCAAAATGTCAACCCCAGCTCCTTTCCGAAACCCGACAGCCTACCTCGAACGAAACAATCGGCGAGCGCTCTCGCTCTGTTTAGTAGGCACCGAGATCTAGACATGCCAGTGACGGTTCGATACCCGCAGATGCGGCTCCAAGACCTTCCAAGAAAACATTCGTCCTCACGCTTACGCGGCGCCGGGGTGACACATTGTCCCGCCCGGCTAAGCCCGTGCTTCTTCTCGGCCTCGGTGCGGCCGACCCAGGCCAGGACAGGGGATCCTCGGAACGCGCTCTGGAGCCCTCTGGAGCCCTGTGACTTGAGCTCTGAGCGAGATGAATGAATGAGATATAGCGTCATTCGATGTGGAGTCCTCCGAGTGAGGCCACCCCCAGGCGCTCGCTGTGCTGTGATGCCTGTGCTATCCCGGCCCCTCCCTTTCAAGAGGTATGCCGCATTCGTTGCTGGAGCTAGTCTCAGCCCTCTTTTTGGGCGGCGCAACGTCGCGCATCGATCTGCGTCAAGTAGGCAGTGGACCATGGCCCTCCGACCAAAGTTTATTTCAGGCCCGAGCGGAGACCCGGGGGTCTCGCAGACGATGTGGGAAAATCTGGGAGATGTACTAAAGGG